ATCTATTGAGGGAGGAGTTACAAAGGGAGAGAATGAGAGAAAGGGCGAGTATAAGGGCTTGGGGTTTTGAGAAAAGGTTGGAGGAAGGAAGGGGAAGTAGGATAGCAAGATTGTGTTGGGAGGAAATGAAAGAGAGATGTAAAAGAGGGAAGGTTATTGAAAAATGGGAGAATGAAAGAAATTTTTTTGAGGAGAGAGGATTAAGTTTGTGGGAAGTGGAGGAGGAGAGGGAGAAGGGTGTGGGGGGATTTGAGAATGTGATAAAGAGGGAGAGGGAAATGCATAGGATGGAGAGGTGGTATAGGATAAAGGAGGCAAAATATAATAAATGGTATGGGAGGATAAAAGGGGAGGGGATACCAGGGTACTTGAAGAAGGGGTGGGGGGAGAATAGGTGGCAAAGGTTAGCGAAATTTAGGTTAGGAAATGGGATGAGGGGGAACTGGTATTGGAAAGAGGAAGAAGAAAGGAAATGCAGATTATGTGGGATTAGGGAGGAATCATGGGAACATGTATGGGAGGAGTGTCTGGATTGGGGGGAGGTAGGAAGCTGGCAAAAGATGGTGGAGTTGGTGTTGGGGGAGGAAGGGGAAGGGGGGGAATGGTTAAGAAGATTGGAAGGAATGAGAGAGGTGGAGAGGGGGAGGGGGAGAGGAAGATTGAGTTTGTGTGAGTGATGAGAGAGAGAGGGGGGGGGATGGGGAGAGCGAATGAGCGTGAGGAACGGCGGAAACGGAGGTCGCATGGGGGAACGAGAGGGGGAGGGGAGGGATGGGAAATATTGAGGAGGTGTGTGTGTGTGTGTAGGGGAGTAGATGGGGTGAGGGGGATGGGGGGGTTTTTAGGTTAAGTTGGGCGATTGGGATGTATAATATGTAGCGAATAAGCGTTAGATAAGTTAGTTTTTAAGTTAGCATAAGTTAGTATAAGTTAGTATGATTTAAATGTAAGCGAGCGTTAGAGTAGGCATGGAATTGTAACCCTGAGGGGAGTCAATAAATTCTACATACATACACAATGGAACAGGAAGTACTTTGACAGCTACGGGTTGCTCTCACTTTATCCAAAATTCTTCTGCGACTCAGAAAGAATTCCGTTACCTATCAATTAAATAAGACTCGATTACAGGGTGTTACTTCGCAAACATGTAGCCACTATTATTGTGTATTTCTTTACTATACGTCTCGGGGTTATAATCTTCTGCAATTTATCAAACTACCAGGTGTACAAGTATGAAATGCAGATTTAAAAAGAAAAAACACGTTAAATTCGAAAGAATGATAAAAAGAGGTTTATTCAAAGTATGCTCCATTGCTAGTTACACATTTTTACCATCTTTCGGGCAATTTATGGATAACACGCCAGTAAAAATCTTCCCCTTTTGCCGCGAACCATTCATCGAGCCATTTTTTCACATTTTCGTACGAACCAAAGCGCTGCTCAACAAGTGCGTGACCCATCGATGCAAACAAGTGGTAATCGGAAGGAGCCAAGTCTGGTGAGTAAGCCGCATGGGGTAGAACTTCCCAGCTGAGTGCTTCCAACGTGTCGCGAACCGGTTTTGCCGTATGTGATGGAGCATCGTCATGAAGAAAAATGATCTTGTCTTGCCTCTTTTAGTATTCTGGTCGTTATTCAAGCAGCGAACGGTTCAAATCGATCAATTATTGTTGGTAGCGTTTGGTATTAAGCGTTTTACCAGGCTTTAACAGCTTATAATAGACCACACCCTTCTGGTCCCATCAAACACAGAGCATCGTCTTCCTGCTAAAGCGATTCGGTCTTGTGGTCGATATGGATGGTGCGCCTGGGTCTACCCATGATTTTTTGCGCTTGGGATTCTCAAAATAAACCCACTTTTCATCCCCAGTAACGATACAATGTAAAAACGACTTTCTTTTGTATCGTTCGAGTAAAATTTCACATGTGTTTTTGCGCCTCTCCATCTGCCTCTCGTTCAACTCATGTGGTACCCATTTGCCGATCTTCTGAATCTTTTCCATCTCTCGTAGACGATTGGAAACAGCTTGTTGACTAACGTTCAATTGCTCTGCGAGTTGTTTTCGTGTTTGTGAATTATCTTCGTCCAACTGTAACGGCCTTGCGTTACGTGCGGGATAGTCTTAGCCGGTGTGGTCCGGGTCTCGTGTGTGAAATGAAAACCAGTGGTATAGGTGATAATAATTTGGAACTATATTCTAATCTCAAAGCTATTTACAATTATTTACAGGCGACGTTACGCCGTTGGCGCGTGGTCGCGTTTTTGCTCTCGTCGGGAGCCGTTGTTGTCGTCTCGCGATCAGCTGCGAGCGTCGAGGCGCGCGAGCGTCAGGCGGGACGCGGTCGGAATTGTTTCCGGATACACTATTGTTCGTCGTTCGGAGTTCGTTGTCTCATCGGCATTAATCTGTTTATCTATCCTGGTCTTTCCTTGCTGGTTTAAAGGCGCTCGTTGTCGCCGTTATCGTATGCCCGGTATGCGTTCGCGATCGTAGATGTTAGCGGCGTAGCGTGAGGAGGAAAGGATGTCGACGTCGCGCATCCACTTCGGTCGACAGAGTGATAGATAAGAAACCGACGTCGCGAATCTACTTCGGTCGGTAGAGCGGTATCGGAGAAAGGATGTCGACGTCGCGTATCCACTTCGGTCGACAGAGCGGTGTATGGATAGGAAACCGACGTCGCGAATCCACTTCGGTCGGTAGAGCGGTATCGGAGAAAGGATGTCGACGTCGCGTATCCACTTCGGTCGACAGAGCGGTGTATGGATAGGAAACCGACGTCGCGAATCCACTTCGGTCGGTAGAGCGGTATCGGAGAGGATGTCGACGTCGCGAATCCACTTCGGTCGACGGAATGTCTAGGATCTCTAGGAGCTGCGAGTTCTGGTCGGTCGTGCGCCTGAGAGGAGCTTTCCGATCAATCTCTCTCGATATCAACTTTCTGTCGGCTTTTATACTAAATTATAACAAACAGTTCGACTGTTTGTTGACCTTGCGGTTATTCCGCGCGCGGTTGTTCGGCGTTTTTCTTGTTAGTATTACCGCTATTGTTTCGGATGTCGTGACGCTTTCCGGATCGTCACAACAATGCGTGCAACTCCACATCTTCGTATCTTTTTGGCGGTTTTCCGTGTTCCTTGTTTGCAACATCGAAATCACCACTTATGAAACGCCAAAACCATCGTTCACAAGTATCTTGTAATGGAGTATGTTCACCATAAGCTTCTCAAAGTAATCGGTATGATTTAGCAGCAGTTTTCTTCAAATAAAAACAAAAAATTAATGCTGTCCGCGAATGCTCTTTATTTAGTATAAATTTCGACATATTGAACACAGCAACACAACACTATGCAAACACTTTTTCAATTTATCACTCATGCGCGTTTGACACTTGTTGATGGCACAACAAAAAATGACATAAATGTCAAATCTTTATACCACACACTGCATTGGTGCGCTATCTGTTTTCTCAAATCCGCATTTTATACTTGTATACCTGATATTTAGGTTACGCAACATTATGCCGAAAATTAGATAGAGAATATGTTGGTACCAACGAAAACCCCTGGGTAGCAGAACATTAATTCTGTCAATTGGCGACACTATTGAAGTTGTAAATCTCCATGAGTTTGCGGATAAGCAATGGCGTAGGGACACTAAAGTTAGGTGCTCCCAGCTACATATTGAAGTCTTGAATGAGTTCGCGGAATCTTTTGACAGATCGTGTGTATATATATATATAAAAAATAATAAATGTATAGTGTAGAACGAAAGTGTGTATGTGTAAAACGAAAGTGCACAGAGACATTTAATTAAAATTAAAAAATAAGTAAATAAATAAAATAACGTAAATAAATAAAGTAAATAAAGTAAATAAAATAAAGTAAATAAATAAATAAAATAACACGAATAAATAAAAATAAAGTGCATAGAGAAGAATAAGGTGAAAAATATAAGAGGATACATTATTATATTAAACGTAATTATACATTATTAATATTTCACTTTTCAGAATTTTGGCGTACCTTAATAGATATTATTAATAATTGAAACGTCGTCCTTTGCATTGGAACTATTGTCAAGGAAGGAAGGAAACTTGTGCAAAATTGAAGAGAAGCAATGAAGATTGCAAAAGATGGGACATGGAGAAAAATAGATGGAGAATAAAGAAATATATATGTCAGATAAGTAGCAAATATTCTCATAGAGTATTTAAAAGATTATATCCTATGTGCTCTTTGTGATTATATATGTTGGACCGATTCTTTCTTTGAATTTTTTTATTCCAGTTTCTATTCCAGCCAATCATTTGCTTGCATAGCATTAACAGCCAGAGAATAATTCCCTGCCAAATTCTGAGTCTATGTGTTCTCGAATGTGTCGCAAGCGAAAGAAAAAATTGAAACGAGATCATAACACGGAGCAAAGTTATCATCAACAATATGATGATAAATTGACTCAATAAACAGAGAGCAGATTTGTCAAAACTGCTGTGTTACAAAGCATATATGCTGTTTGTAGCAGGAATTTACATAGCCTGTACTGGCAAAGGTAGATACTATGGTGTATTTCAGCAATCTGTCACCAATGCTTTTGACATACCTGCTTGATGTTTATAGCTACCTCGTAATATACACTGCTGACTGATGTATGCTTTTTATCTTTCAGAAAACAGAAAATGTTTGCATTGGTTTCTGCAAGAAGTGGAATACTTGTCCAAAAATGAAGGATTAATGAAGAGATACATTTGTCAAAATTAAGAGTAAAAATAAATTATATGTTAGGAAAATGCACAAGAACTATGAAAAATGAAGGAATTACAAGTGTAGGAAGCAATAATGAAAAGAAGAATAGGGAGTATTAAAATGTTTATGAATGTACTTCTAAATTTTTATTTTCCAATAACTTCTGATAATTTGTATAAAATTAATAAGAGGTCCAACTTTTCATCATTTTTTATCTCGTTCCATATTTTTAATATATTTTCTTCTCTTTCTTTCAGAGCACGTCCTTCCCTTCGTGCCCAGAATTTCGGATGCCTCGTTTAACTTCAAATACGCTTTTGGTGTTCGAAAAGATAAACTGTAAGTAATATTGAAATTTAAGAAGAGCAAAAATATTTTAAAAAATATTTTTCAAAATAGGGCGTCCACAATATACTTAAAAATTGTACAATTGTCGTGTGCTTTTTCAAGTTTTCCCGAAGTTCTCGGTTGTGTTTTTTGGAGACATTATTAGTTCTGTATATCTCTTGAAATACACAAAAGGAATCGGGTTTAAAATTGTCAATCCACGTCTTTTTATAATAATTAAAAAATGATTGTAAATACGGGCAGTCTTTAAATATAATTTTGGATATCAATTCGAAGCCTTCTTCTATTAATTTTTTTGGTAAAAAGGCTAAAGATTTTAATAATTTTATTGCACTCAAACCCGATTCATAACCGTCATCTTTTAATATGCCATGTTTACCAGCATTACGTACTAAAGCCTGTAATTATAAATTAATATTATTAAAATAGACGTGCATTTTATACTAATTAATTGTACTATTATTTTTCTGTACCTGACTGTAATGGAAAAAGCAGCCAATGATCTTAGCACTGGGGAAAACAGTATGTAAAGCTGGTTTTTCAGCCTTTTCAAAATCAGACATTACCGTGTCAGGTATTATTTTTAGAACATTGCAGACTTTTCTCAAAACATCAATGTAATTTTGTATAGTGCGCCCTGCGAAAAGAACTGCCTTTGTTGCATTATTTTTTATGACAAAATCAACAATAAATGAATCAATTTCATCCAACTTAATTAAGCGTACTAACACAATTAGAAATTTAAAATGAGAACGGAAGAACAAGAGCATAACGAAAATATATGAATAAACCACTTTCGTTATGTTTTAGTTTTTCCAATTCTCACAATCTAATTCTAAGGCAATATTGTTACATTGTGTCCCGTGTCAGTGCGCTTAATTATAGAAAAAAAATATTGTTTTTCAAGAATGCAATAGACAAAAGTGGAATATGAGGGATATTATTTCCATTTTACTCAATCGTACGCAGATACTACGTAAGCAGAAAGCATTAGATTCAAATTAATTACATTCAAATTAATTAAATTAATTAGATTCAAATTAATTAAAAGATCATAACGTAGAAAAAAATATTTAAAGAGCTGCTTGTTATTTATTAATTTTATATTCGTATATACGGAAGCGTCCCGATTGCTCATGTTGCAAACGGCTACACCTAAACGATGCAAAATACTTTATATACTATAACAGATTTGTATACAATTACATTATAGTATGAAATTTTGAGATAATTAAATATTTAATATTTAATATTAAATATTTATATTATATATTTATATATATATTATTATTATTTTATTTATATTATATATTTATATATTTATATTTTTATATTTAATATTTTCATTCCTGGCGTATTTATGTAAAAATTATGATCATATTTTTTTACTCATTTACACATCTCCATAGAATAATATTTGATGTATTTATTTGCAAATAATTGTCTCGCAGGTATTACGTATGTAGTTTTCGCCAAAAAAAGAATGTGCATTGCAAAGCACGATTAAAAATTGTGAATGGTCAAAAGATTTTAAGTGGAACACACGACGGCCATAGAAAACTACTTCATTTAAATGATATTAAAAAAGAAATTGCTGAATCACTACCTTTTGAAACGACGAGAGAAATAAGAAATAGAATAATAGCAAAGTGAGTAATAAACGATAAAAAAAATAATAAATTTTATTGAAGACCATCTACTATACTTATAATTCGCAAATTGTATTTTTATGTATAGACATGATCATTTGCTGAATTTCACAAACATCGCGAATGTAGAAAAAGCAATAGAACGCCACAAAAAGAAATATATTGATCGGATTCCACAAAACTTGAATGAATTTCAAACATGTTTGGAAAGTGAAAATTGGAAAGCACTTCTTAAGTTGGATGAAACTGATTCATTTATTGTTGATTTTGTCATAAAAAATAATGCAACAAAGGCAGTTCTTTTCATTGACAAAACTTTGTCGGAATCAATTACAAATTATAAAAATGAAAAATTAACAATTTTTGTTGATGGCACATTTGCCACTGTCCCTCTATTACAAAATATTAATTGTCAATTGTGGACAATTGTTATTAGACACGATAATAGAGTAAGCAAAACAATTACTTCATTACATTATTCTTCAAATAATTATTTCCTTTAATCATATTAAGCACTACATTGTATGTTGATATATCATAAAATATAATTATTTTTTAATTTGTCAGACATTTCCTATTGTTTATGCTGTAATGGAAGGGCGCACTATACAAAATTACATTGATGTTTTGAGAAAAGTCTGCAATGTTCTAAAAATAATACCTGACACGGTAATGTCTGATTTTGAAAAGGCTGAAAAACCAGCTTTACATACTGTTTTCCCCAGTGCTAAGATCATTGGCTGCTTTTTCCATTACAGTCAGATACAGAAAAATAATAGTACAATTAATTAGTATAAAATGCACGTCTATTTTAATAATATTAATTTATAATTACAGGCTTTAGTACGTAATGCTGGTAAACATGGCATATTAAAAGATGACGGTTATGAATCGGGTTTGAGTGCAATAAAATTATTAAAATCTTTAGCCTTTTTACCAAAAAAATTAATAGAAGAAGGCTTCGAATTGTTATCCAAAATTATATTTAAAGATTGTTCGTATTTGCAATCATTTTTTAATTATTATAAAAAGACGTGGATTGACAATTTTAAACCCGATTCCTTTATTCAAGAGATACACAGTATTTCTGATTCCTGTATTTCAAGAGATACACAGAACTAATAATGTCTCCGAAAGACACAACCGAGAACTTCGGGAAAACTTGAAAAAGCACACGACAATTGTACAATTTTTAGGTATATTGTGGACGCCCTATTTTGCAAATATTTTTTAAAATATTTTTGCTCTTCTTAAATTTCAATATTACTTACAGTTTATCTTTTCGAACACCAAAAGCGTATTCGAAGTTTCACGAGGCATCCGAAATTCTGGGCACGAAGGGAAGGACGTACTCTGAAAGTAAGAGAAGAAAATATATTAAAAATATGGAACGAGATAAAAAATAATGAAAAGTTGGACCTCTTATTAATTTTATACAAATTATCAGAAGTTATTGGAAAATAAAAATTTAGAAGTACATTCATAAACATTTTAATACTCCCTATTCTTCTTTTCATTATTGCTTCCTACACTTGTAATTCCTTCATTTTTCATAGTTCTTGTGCATTTTCCTAACATATAATTTATTTTTACTCTTAATTTTGACAAATGTATCTCTTCATTAATCCTTCATTTTTGGACAAGTATTCCACTTCTTGCAGAAACCAATGCAAACATTTTCTGTTTTCTGAAAGATAAAAAGCATACATCAGTCAGCAGTGTATATTACGAGGTAGCTATAAACATCAAGCAGGTATGTCAAAAGCATTGGTGACAGATTGCTGAAATACACCATAGTATCTACCTTTGCCAGTACAGGCTATGTAAATTCCTGCTACAAACAGCATATATGCTTTGTAACACAGCAGCTTTGACAAATCTGCTCTCTGTTTATTGCGTCAATTTATCATCATATTGTTGATGATAACTTTGCTCCGTGTTATGATCTCGTTTCAATTTTTTCTTTCGCTTGGGACACATTCGAGAACACAATAGACTCAGAATTTGGCAGGGAATTATTCTCTGGCTGTTAATGCTATGCAAGCAAATGATTGGCTGGAATAGAAACTGGAATAAAAAAATTCAAAGAAAGAATCGGTCCAACATATATAATCACAAAGAGCACATAGGATATAATCTTTTAAATACTCTATGAGAATATTTGCTACTTATCTGACATATATATTTCTTTATTCTCCATCTATTTTTCTCCATGTCCCATCTTTTGCAATCTTCATTGCTTCTCTTCAATTTTGCACAAGTTTCCTTCCTTCCTTGACAATAGTTCCAATGCGAAGGACGACGTTTCAATTATTAATAATATCTATTAAGGTACGCCAAAATTCTGAAAAGTGAAACATTAATAATGTATAATTACGTTTAATATAATAATGTATCCTCTTATATTTTTCACCTTATTCTTCTCTATGCACTTTATTTTTATTTATTCGTGTTATTTTATTTATTTATTTACTTTATTTTATTTACTTTATTTACTTTATTTATTTACGTTATTTTATTTATTTACTTATTTTTTAATTTTAATTAAATGTCTCTGTGCACTTTCGTTTTACACATACACACTTTCGTTCTACACTATACATTTATTATTTTTTATATATATGTGACGATCCGGAAAGCGTCACGACATCCGAAACAATTACTAACAAGAAAACGCCGAACAACCGCGCGCGGAATAACCGCAAGGTCAACAAACAGTCGAACTGTTTGTTATAACTTAGTATAAAAGCCGACAGAAAATTGATATCGGGAGAGATTAATCGGAAAGCTCCTCTCAGGCGCACGACCGACCAGAACTCAAAACTCCTAGAGATCCTAGACCTCCCGTCGACCGAAGTGGATACGCGACATCGACATCCTTTCTCCGATACCGCTCTACCGACCGAAGTGGATACGCGACGTCGGCTTCTTATCCATACACCGCTCTGTCGCATGAAGTGGATACGCGACGTCGACATCCTCGCTCCGATACCGTTCCGTCGACCAAAGTGGATACGCGACGTCGACATCCTTTCTTCGATACCGCTCTACCGACCGAAGTGGATACGTGACGTCGGTTTCCATACACCGCTCTGTCGACCGAAGTGGATATGCGACGTCGACATCCTTTCCTCGATACCGCTCTACCG